TCCTCCGCTCCACTATGGCCATATGATGAGGGCAGACCACATCATTTTGGGGGCAGATTTAACCAACAGGTGCTGGTGGTGAGCAAGCATGCCTTGTTTGTTTTGACGAATTCTCAGGTTGCATTGGAGCTTACTCCATGACATCAAGAGATACTGACTCGAACATCCTGTGCCTTCAGAAGTTCGCTGGAACCAGAGCTTCCCCTAGGTCTTCTTGCCTTGTGAAAACCGACTGTGCTCAAGAATTGACCAAAGCCGTTGAGCACTTGGGCTGGTTGAGTGAACCAGGGATTGAGAACGACCCGTATCACAATGCAAAGTTGGAAAGCTTGATCCGAAGGATCAAAGAAGGCACACGTGCGATCCATCTTAAGTCAGGTTTGCCGCACGCCTTTTGGCCGAGGAGCATCGAGTATTTTGTCGTAGCACATGCAATCACACATCCATGTCCTGTGCATCCGAATGAGACTCCTGAGTCCAAAGCGTTGAAGGAAGGGAAGACCTGTTATGAAGTTGCTTCAGGTAATGTTTTTGATGGGTACCGGATCCCTTTTGGTGCATTAGTTTGGTACAAACCCCCCAAGCATAGAGAACTTCCTGCCTTTGACCCAAGGACTTTTCCTGGAATCTTCTGTGGATGGCGAATCGATAACGGGTATAAGTTCAGAGGTGTGCATTTGGTTTTGGATTATGAAGCTGTTCGCACCAACAAGAAAGGTTGTGAGAAACCAATCCAAGTGTATACTAGTGAGCTTGTGAAACCAGAAGTGTTCATCTTTCCTTTGGAAGAGGCTGCAAACTCGCAGCTGGCATTGTTTAAAGCAGATCGGGAGTTGCTGAGCATTGATCCCAGAGAGTCGTTGCCCTTTGGAGAAGATCCTCCCGAGCCAGCCAAACGTAAACGCAGACCTTATGTAACATTGGAGAGATGCATCAGGTTCGGAAAGACTGTAGGATGCAAAGGTTGCGACAGAATTGCAGAAGGCGTGAGGCACAGTGATGAATGCCACGCAAGGATTGGCAAGCTCTTGGAGGACGAGAGACTAGCCAAAGAGTCAGATTCGAAGAAAGACAAAGAGAAATCGGAAGCCGCTGTGGACATTTCGATGCACACCTTGAAGGACAAATGTAGCCGCCAAAAAGTCAGAGAAAATCCCATTGTCCTGCCTGAAGACCACGAGAGCAAGCAACTGGCTTCTCATGTGGATTGCTGTAATGCGGAGGCATTGAATGACTATTGGGACTTTGATGAGGCCAAAGCTGCATGGAAGAGAGTCCATGTCCGTCCTAGGAAGCGTTTGTTCACACCGCTAGGAAATGACTGCCCATTCGATCCGTTCGAAGTGACAACAGAACGTCAGACCGTTTGGACATGTAGGAAAAAGACTTCATTGTTTGCAGATGATTGGCAATCCATGTCACCGAATAGGCGCATTTGTTCAAGAAGTTGGGTAGGGTGCACATACTTCTTTCCAAAAGAGAAGCCCGAGAATGTAAGAGCAAGAATCAGAACCATGACATGCAATGTCGAGAAAGAACCTTTGAGAGGGCTCGATGCTGTCACGTCGATCCTTGGTTTGACTCCGGTCCCTGCAGAAGTCAAGAACGTTCAGACATTGAAACCGCCCCGTGAAAGGAGGATCAGGTCAGGCAAAAGCCATGCAGTGTTTGAATTCTGCTGCAGCAAAGACTCGAAATTAGGAGATATTAATGCATCAAGGGGGGTTCCGCATTTTCGGTTGCATCGAGAACAAACCAACTTGGAAAACGATGAAGACATCAAAAGCCTTTTGTCGTTGGTAGACATGTTCAAGGGGGCTGACCTTTGGGGAAGCATTCCATGTAGTTCATGGAGTCCTTGGCAGAAAATGTGTTTGCATCGATATGGCTCAGCCTACGCAAAGAAGTTGAAAGCCAAGAGAAAAACAAGCAAGAAACTCTTAGCAAACTACATAAAGGTTGCAGAGAGAATTCTCCAAAACGGAGGACACATTGCTTTCGAATGGCCTAAACATTGCGAAGGTTGGATGTTGACTGAACTGTTGCCGTTTATCAAGAAGCATGATTTGTTTGAGACTTGCTGTGATGGCTGCGCCTTTGATTTGAAAGACAGTGAAGGAGAGCCACATCTGAAGACTTGGAGAATAGTAACATCCTCAAGAAAATTGGCAAAAGACCTTGGTTTTTACCGATGCCAACATCCAAAAGACTTCAAGCACAGTCCTTTGGAGGGTTCGAGCACAGGGAGGTCAGCCTTCTACACTGAACAGATGGCGCAAACGATCTCTAACAGCTTGTATCCTGATGATGACTCCGTCCCAATCATGCCAACTTGTCCGTTTGTTCAGTCAGAACATGTCCCGCATGAAATTCCCTTAGGTGTTCATCAGTTGATTGATCGTCGAGATTGGGGAAAGTATCCGGGGGCTGACCAAGCTATCAAGAAAGAGTTGGATGGTCTTCTAGCAAATGAAGTTTGGGATGTTAGTAAAATCATTTCCAAAGAAGAACTGATGAAGTCGGGTGGCAAATTTAACCTAGGTCGTCTCATGACAATCCTGTCCATGAAGCACGCTGAAAGTCCAGAATTGCGAAAGTTGAAAGCCAGAATTGTGTTCCGAGGTGACCAGATAGTTGACCAAGACAACAACATCGCCATCCTGCAGGAACTCAAAGTGAATCCCTCGGGAATCACAGCCATCAATTTCAACTTGAGCTATGGTGCACTTCCCGGAAATGATAGTTCACAGTCGGACGTGGTGCGTGCATACACTCAAAGTGTCTTGCGAACAGTGGTGGACACATGGGTGCTACTCCCGCCGGAGTTAGTGCCAAAAGAGTTCGCCCACATCAAAATGCCAGTAGCACCTTTGAAGAAGGCGCTGTACGGACACCCGGAATCGGGTTTCCACTGGGATGCAAGATTCCGTGAAGTGATGGGACTCATGGGAGGGAAAGCTGATAGAGACAACCAGTCGAATTGGACCTTTGACAATGGTCTAGTCCTCACATTGTACGTCGACGACATTTTGCTTTCAGGGCCATCAGGTTTGCACAAAGGGTTCTGGGAAAACCTGCAAAAACACCTCGAAATAGAAGAACCGACCCCAGTGGACCGTTGTCTTGGCAGAAAGCATTTGTTCAAACGTGAAAACGGAGTGACTGAGGTTTATTTCGACATGGTAGATTTCATCAACTCAGCATGCCAAATGTATGAAAATCTGTCAGGGATGCCATTGAAGGGCGCCGCATCTCCGTACTTGCCAGAAGGTTCAATTCCGGTGAACGAATGGGAAGAACGCGGAGCCTTAGAAAGTGATGCGAGTAAGGTCTTGATGAAAGTCCTTTGGGCCGGCAGACTTGCCAGGCCAGATACGGTCAAGGCAATCGGTGACCTCACACGTCGTGTGACGAAGTGGAGTCGTGCCGATGACCGCCGCTTGCACAGATTGATGAACTATCTGTACGAGACCAAGGCATTCTGCCTAAAGGGCAAAATCGCAGATCGTCAGGAAGACCTACAACTGGCCTTGTATACCGACGCGGACCACTCAAGCGCGGTAGAGGATGCAAAGAGCACCTCTGGTGGTTTGCTGTGTCTGCAAGGACCGACGTCCTACTGGCCACTGGCGTGGCACAGTAAGAGACAGGGTGCCACTGCACGATCGACCACAGAGGCCGAGATCATATCACTTGCCCACGGTGTATTTGACGCTTTGCCAGTTGCTGAATTCGTTGAGGAAGTGTTCAGAAGAGAAATTGAATTGGTGTGTTTCCAGGATAACAGCGCCGTCATAAGCATATGCGGCCAGGGCTACAGCCCTAAGCTCCGCCATGTTTCGAAGCACCATCGTATCAATCTCTCTTCTCTATACGAAACGTTCTCGAATGGCAGTGCCAAATTGCTTTATATAAAAACGGACCATCAAAAGGCTGATCCCTTCACGAAACCGTTGCCGGTTTCCAAATGGAGTCACGCCTTGGAGCTTTTGGGCGTCGTGGATCCAAATCTCTCGAGGCACCCATCTTCCACTGAACATGTTAATGTGTGAAGGGGGAGGAGAGAGACATGGGGTGAAACCACCACCCCTAATCCACTAGCAAAGCACCCTGGTCGATGCATCTGGCACGCCAGGGGAAGCAGTCCATGAAGCAGTCCTTGAACAAGAGCATCTCTGCAGGCAAGATTCGCATTCGTTGTGTCACCAAGCACTGTAAGAATTTAGTTTCACATGACATGCAAGTCATAGGAATCTTGATGAATGTAGCCTTCATGATCCAGTCATTGACGTTTCACTTCACCGGACATGTTTGGCTCAAGATTGTGGGAAAAAGGGGCGGCTGCTGTGTTCTTTTAACATTAAACAGAAATATCATGGTTGCCACGAAGCCTGGAGGGGGCTGATGCTTCGTTTTGGCCTGCTAATGTGTGTTTGTGTATTTTTCCTGGGTTGCGCGCTTCTTTTTGCTTTTGGGTCCGCGGGCTCACCTTGTTTCTCCTAGTAGTGAGGCCAGGAGCCCATAATAGCATCCTTGTTCCTAGTAGTCCGCCCATACCACTACTTCAACGTTCCAAGCGAGTGCAACGACGCCGACATCTGTGTGAACCCGGCAACAGTTGGGTCATTTTAGAGATGTCTTTTTCGCACCCCGAATGGAGCTGCGCCTGCCCCCCTGGCAAGCTGCAAGAAAAGATGGAAGAATCATTGAGCACTGCCGGGCACGCCACTCGAGAAAAGTAATTGAGATCAATTTAGTATCCCGGATCCATCTTTGTTCCTAGTAGCGTTCTTGTTCCTAGTAGTAAGGCCAGGAGCCCCGTTCGTAGCGTCCTTGCTCCGTTCGTAGCGATGCCCTTTGCTCCTAGTAGCTTCTTGATCAATGTGATATCCCGGATCCATCAAAACAAATACGGTCAGCCGAAAACAGCTTCCTTTTGTGCTGTCAGAGTGGTGCACTGAACACTAGCACTAGCCCCACCCACTAAAGCACTAGTCGGCTTAGTTGAGTGCACTGAGTGCTTTAAAACGACAAACGGAGTCCACCAACGGAGCTGAGTCCAGTTCCACTCCCAAACGGAGCCTTTCTGCTTCGGCATCTGCAAGTTCCTGCTCTCTCTCCGCTGCCTGGCGGCATCTGGCGAGACACAGGTGTGACATGTGACATGGCTGGCCTGCTTACTGGCCTCCACCCTACTAGCGATAGCCTCCATCCTAGTAGCAATGGCATCCAACCTAATAGCGTCCAGCCTGCTTGCTGAAACATCGCATGAAAAAGCCGAAAAGTCTCCTCATCTGATGATTATCTCCAGTGAAGAGCCCAGCCGGCAGATTCGCCTGCTCTTGGAGAAGATGATTCGCCTTTCGAAGCTCTTCCATTTGTGACAACGTGTCCTTTCGAATGCGGCTGTCGAACGGAGCACTGGTATCACGTCTCATACCATACTATCCACATTCGCTCTAGCAGTCCTGCAGCTGCTGCTCGACCTCACAAAGTTCAGAAACAAATGTAGTAGCTAGGACGCTACTAGGTTGGAGGCCATCGCTACTAGTAGGAAGCTGCTAGTTTGAAACAAGAACTTCGAACCGATCTTGGAAGCGACAACAGGCAAGGAAGGGAAACTATGGCAAAAAGTTGCCAAAGCTTAAGCCTTAAAAGCCATTGAAAAACGGTTCAAAACTTGGAAAATCGTTGGAACCTTGTCTTCCTTTTTGAGCAATCTCGCTTCTGGGTTCCAACATGTTGAAACAACACATCGCACCTGATTCCTCTCGGCCAGAGCTTGCTGGTTCTTCTCCTCCTCTGCTTTTTGCATCTCGCGCCAACGCCTCAGTCACGTGAATGTCCATCTCGGTGCGAGGGCTGTCTTTTAGCTCGTGGCCGTGCATCCTTACTATTCCTTACTTAATCAAGTAGCTGCCTACTTAATTCAGTGGGGCTAGTGGCTTAAGTAAGCTACTAGCTGGGGAGCGCTCGCACTATTCATTTGGCTCCTAGATTTTTAGGAGAAAACAACACAAACAAGGGTTTGGGTGTGTTGGGGGTGTGGGAAATCGAGCGGTGGTGAAAATCGTCCGTCACTGCGCGACCAAATCCTGTCTGTTCGATGTCATTGTGCGAGAAAGAAACACTGAAAGGTCGATTAAATAGATTCTATGTTAAAGAAAAGAAAAGAAAGAAAAATGTGAAAAGGTCTAGAGAAACAAAGTGAAATTGAGAATGACATGGGAGGGAGTTTCCTTGAAGAAGAGCGAGCTATCCTGTGTCCAGTAGGTAGCTACAAGTGTTTTACCTTACTTAATGAAGGAGGCAGGGCCATGGGAATTAAAAAAGAAACAAATAAACAGGAAAAGCAATGGCCTCCAACCTAATAGCGTAATTCCAACCTTAAGAAATACAAACAAATCGATAACAAAAAAATATATTGTTTTCTTTGTCTCTTGGATTCTTCCCGTCTTGAGGTCTTCACTCGTGGGCCGCAGTGCTCGCCAGGGCCAAGCCTCGCTGCAACCTGCACCAAGCGGAAAGCAGCACGAGGAAGCACGGTTTAAAAAAATGAATAATTAGTAGGGTGTTTCTAATAGCAAACATTGTTCCTAGTAGCGATGCACTTGTTACTACCAGCTTCTTGTTACTACTAGTAAGGCATTTGTTACTAGAAGCGAACAATTAAAGAACATTCATTTCTTGTTTCTAATGGCTTCTTGTTACTACTAGTAAGGCCCTTGCTCCCAGTAGCGATGCACTTGTTCCTAGTAGCTTATTGTTTATATTGAAAACGTTGTTTCAAAATAGCAAACATCGTTCCTAGTAACGGCCAGGAGCCCCGTTCGTAGCGTCCTTGCTCCTGAATAAGTTTTATGAATAACATAATCAGATATTAATGTTTGATCGTTTATAATAGTTGTTTATTGACAGTTTCTGAGGGGTATACCTTTCGTCGCAAGCGCTTGAGCTTACGACGTTTTCCATGTTCGCGCTCCTATGGTTTCATTATGGTTTCTTGTTTGGGCCGGTCTGTTCCGGTCTGTTTGATGCGTGTTACCTAGGGCGTAGCAACAACATACTAAATCCTGCAAAAACCGTCTTTCGTTGTCGAATTTTTTCATGTTTGTTGTTCCCGTTCCCTAACTTCCTTTATCTTCCTTTGATGCAGACACACACACACACAAACGGCCAAAAGAAAAGCTCCCAGCAAGAGTGGAGCTTTAGATCCACAGTCCTCTTCGAAAACAACCAACCAGGAACCAAGAAAGTTACACCATTTGGTTGGGCCATCACTATTAGGTGGGAGGCCATCGCTATAAGGTTAGACGCCATCGCTCTCAGGTTGGAGGCCATCGCTAGTAGGTTGGAGGCTATTGCTATTAGGTTAGAGGCCATCAGTTTCAGCTTATGTCCTTACAGGCAAGGCTCTCTCAACTCCTACCCATCCCAACTGCTACTGCCAGCTGCAGCACTTCTCGAGTTGTTGGGATGCGTGACAAACAAGCTTTTCAAGGGATGGAATCTCAGATCTGAGCATCTGACAGCTCTCCACTTCTGCGCACAACATCCAGGCGGCAAGCTTTATCCCGTAAGGATTTCCTCAAACCAAACGTCGTGCGTTTTTAAGACATTGACCCTAACAGCCCAGTTCGAGTCGGCTCGATTGAGACGATACTTCGAAGATGAAATTTCAAGTGCCTTCCCCATCTACGCTGACTGGTGACTGGCACCAGATTGGGGGTTGGAAATGCCCACATTCACCTGAGAGGAATGACCTGAGTGACCTGAGTGTTAGCACTTGCTGTGGAAAACTCGACATCTCCAAGTGGCGGAATTGGAGTATCGACCTTCAGCTTGCCATCCGTCCAACCAAACACCTGGCGAAAAGGTTGCAGTGAGATGAGAAGAAACGTGAAGAAAAAGAGAACACACCACCTCCAGGCGCATGCCAGGATGATTCTGCCTCAGAAGTTATGTGGGTTCTTTCGAACGTGGGGGGTGAGGGGGAGGCCATGAAGAGGACTCGCAAAGGCCATGCTCTTCAGATAACCTAATTACTCGGTGGTCCCGCCACACGAAGCCAAGGCTTCTTCCTTGAAGAACTCTCACAATAGCATCCTTGCTCCTAGTAGTACGGCCAGGAGCCTTTGGTAGCTTCTTGTTCCTAGTAGCGATGCCAGGAGCCCCTAGTAGCGTCCTTGCTCCTAGTAGCCAGATCTTTGTCATTCCGATCGATCAAACCTAATCCTTCCATTCTCTTTTCGCGCTTAGCGTGGCTTGGCATCGGGCCATTCCACCGGGTGTACCCGCAAGTGGCGTATGGCGCGCGTTGCTTGTGCCACGCCCAATGACACAAAGCCTTACATCTGCACCAAAGGCGGTTGCTTCGAGTCGAGGCAAAAGGAGCTTTGCAAAAACTAGTCATTGGAGGCCCACGGTTGGAGGCCATCGCTATTGGATTGGAGGCCATCGCTATTAGGTTGGAGGCCATCCCTACTAGGTTGGAGGCCATCGCTAGTAGGTTGGAGGCCATCGCTATTAGGTTGGAGGCCATCCCTACTAGGTTGGAGGCCATCGCTATTAGGTTGGAGGCCATCGCTAGTAGGTTGGAGGCCATCGCTAGTAGGTTGGAGGCCATTGCTGTCAGGTTGGCGGCCATCGCTAGTAGGTTGGAGGCCATTGCTATCAGGTTGGCGGGCATCCCTATTAGGTTGAAGGTCATCGCTAGTAGGAAGAAGGTAAAGGCACGCTTTTGACATGAACAAAAAGCAGGCTTGGCAGTCGCTCTGCTCCGCATCGCCGGTTTCTCAGGCTGCCGCGCATCGCCTCTGCATCACTGCAACCCTCAAAAACGAATGGCTTGCTTTCCTGCACGGCCGAGAATCAGAAGCATGTGTTACTACTAGTAAGGCACTTGTTTCTAATAGCTTCTTGTTACTACTAGTAAGGCACTTGTTACTACTAGCGAGGCACTTGTTCCTAGTAGCTTCTATGTTTGGTTTGGGAACATGTGTCCAACATGGCGTTTTACATCGAAACGTCTTCGAGCTCCGAGGCTGAAGCATTCAGAGCTGTGAAGGGCACCCACTCGGCACCGTTCTCACTCCATGATGCAGTGAATTTGGTCACCTGCAGTGACGCTACCAGTAACAAGCGCCACGCTAGTAGTAACAAGAAGCTACTAGTAACAAGTGCATCGCTTCTAGTAACAAGTGCCTTACTAAGAATTAGAATCAGAATTAAGTTTCAGTGACTTACAGGGATGGCTCACACAGTCTTCCGGCTCATGGGAAACGATGCCAATCACCGGCCATGCACACACAATTCCCGGGGCAAGGGACCCATTGGTCCTCAACATCAAGGAGGCTGCCAACATTCTGCACCTTCTTCCTGCAAATTCTTCGCGTGATGGGATTCTTGGTCTTGGTGGCTAAATGGGTGCAAGTTCCATCGATCAGTCCTAAGTCCCAGGTAGCAAAGGAGCTGCAACAGGCGGTTGCTTTCCTGTCAAAAACCAGGACGACACATGGAGATTCCCTTGACGACACTCCCCGCCACTGTGTTCTTGCCAGCAAGGATGTCTGATGCGCTCACTTTCAAAGGTTGCACCTGGTGAGGGTCAGACAATAGGCACAAAGAAGAACATGTATTAACAATAAGCTACTAGGAACAAGTGCATCGCTACTAGTAACAAGGGCCTTACTAGTAGTAACAAGAAGCTACTATTAAGTGTAATTAGAATCAAATTAAAATTAGTAAAAATCATAAACATGACCATCACAATAGGTTGACGAACGGTTCGTCCTTCTCAGACCATCCAGCTGCTTTGATTGCATGGCCCTTAGTGCGCAGCACACGACGTGGCTCCGGAGGGTTCTGAGTTGTTACTACTAGCAAACATTGTTACTACTAGTAAGGCACCTGTTACTACTAGCGTGGCACTTGTTTCTACTAGCGTCCTTGTTACTACTAGTAAGGCACTTGTTACTAGTAGCGATGCACTTGTTCCTAGTAGCTTCTTTGTTACTACTAGTAAGGCACCTGTTACTACTAGCGTGGCACTTGTTTCTACTAGCGTCCTTGTTACTACTCAGGTTGCCGCGGCTTTGGCCAAGAGGAGTTCGAAAAAATCCACCTTTCGACACCGTTGCGTGTGTTCCTTTTTTTTAGCGTCCGATCGCTCCCCGGACTCGGACCGTTTCATTTTTGACATTCCATTTTGTGTAAAGGAGGCAGTCATCTCCACTTTGGCATCGAGAAAACGTTTTGAGGCGGATGCCCGATTGCTGAATTTGTGCTGACAAATACCTTCTATGGAACATATTGAACATAGTTTCCCCCTTCCCTTGGAGGCCATCGCAAGTAGGTTGGAGGCCACCAATTAGAGGCCATTGCTAGTAGGTTTCCCCTTCGTTCCCCGCCTTTGCTTGTCGGTCTGCATTCTGAAGCTGCTTGTAATCCAGCTGGGCTGCAGTGAAGTCAGGCCTCTTAAGGCACCGCAACCAATCGCAGGAGCAAGGACGCTACTAGTAGCAAACATGGGGTCGTGTTGTTTGTGATGCACAGGTTGAAGCCAAACGTGACAAAAAGGGAAACTTGTGATGTCACTTTCAAACTAGTAGGAGTTGGAACAGTTCATCTTTCTTTCTGTTTGTTTACATGAAAAGTTCAATTTTTCCACAGCTTAGTGCTCAGTGTTGTTGGTTACAATGCCGCGGTGTGGATCCCGCGGAACAAACGTCAAGCGGCTCAGATTGAGTCAGCCTTTCACAGACTGTACCAACGACTGGCTGTCCAACACTTTGGTGCCCCTGCGCTGCCGTGGAGCCGTACTTGGCTGCTCTTCAAGTTAGGCTTACCAGAGGCTGGTATCGTGTTGGTGGTCTCCCGACTGAGGTATTTTGGACAATTGGTCCAATCAGGCCAGCCCACTCTGTGGGCTTTGCTTCAGCGTGATGAACAATGGGTCGTGCAGCTCCAGAATGACCTTACTGTCCTTACCACCTACTGCCCTGAAGCTGGAGGATTCATGCCGCTGAAGGACTGCTGGAATGCAATCACTGCATTCATTGCTGCTAGTCCTGCGAGATGGAAGAGACTCTTGCGTAAGCTACAAGCACGGGCAGTCTCGATGCAGCATATTGATGTGGAGTGGAATCAATGGCACCTTGAGATGTATGAATGCTTGGTCGCGCATGAAATTGTTGGTCCTGAGCCTTGTTCGGTGCCTGTACACACATATTGTTGTTTGTCCTGCACCAAATTTTTCAAGACTAAGGCTAATATGGCAGTGCATGCGTTCAAGAAGCAGGGTAGGGTCAATAAAGCGAGAGCTTTTGTGGTGGGCACGCAATGCGAGTCGTGCCTCAAACACTATGAACTGCACTCGGACCTGATCAACCATGTCAAACGAGGCGGGCCCTGTTATAGCTTCTACCAGCAGCGTGGCATCCGTGTCCAGCCGCAGCCGGCGGTGAACAGCCGGGTTGAACAGAAGGAGAAGTCTCTGTTCAGGCTCCCCTTTATGCAAGCTGAGGGCCCGAAGCACTTAGCCCCTGCTGATGGACCGACGGACCCTGAGAATGAGGTCTTACGCCTCCAACTAGCATGGGGTCAATGTCTGCAAGAGCTGGATACTGAGGAGACTCTGTTGGAAAGACTACGTCAAACAACGTGTACTGCCTATTTGTATTTGGAAGAGATTCTGGCTGCTTTCGAACAATGAGTTGTTCAGCTTGGAGAGAAGACCTTGTTGCAGGAATTGTCAGTGTTTGCGACATTCAAACAAAAAACTAGTGTTGAGTGGTTTCTTGCGAATATGCAGAATTCCTCAGCTGTCCATGAAACTGTACAAGGTTTCTTCCGCAGAGAGGCTGGACGTTTAGATCCTCTTGTTGCTCCTGTTCCGAAGGTTATAAGTTATTCTCCTAAGGTTTTTGCTCATTTCTTCTCGGGTGCTCGCCGAAAAGGTGATTTTCAAGAGCATGTCGAAAGGCTCCAGGCAACTGCAATTTCGGTCGATATCATTTTTGATATTACGTGGGGGAATCTCCTTCAGCCTGCGACCTTTGAGCTGTTCGTGAGGGCGATGAGGGAAAGAATCCTTTGTGGGTTCCTTTCTGGCCCACCGTGCGAGACCTGGTCGAGAGCGCGCGCAACAGATGATTCTGGTCCTCGAGTTTTGAGAAGCAGAAGTCGACTCCAGGGTCTGTGCTCTCTGACGCGACGAGAGTCGGAGCAAGTCTCAATCGGTAACCAGCTGCTCGGAGTGACGCTACGGTTTTTTCTCTATGCACTGATCTTTGGATCAGTGGCAATCTTGGAACACCCAGCATGCCCAGAGGACCGGCCTGACCTGCCCTCTATCTGGTGGTTGGACGTCATCCAATGTCTGTTAAGGTTTGACGGATGCGTCAAGCTGAGAATTTACCAAGGTTTGTACGGGGGACTCTCACCGAAGCCGACTGATTTGCTATTTGCGAAATGTGGCAGCTACGATCAGCTTGTGAGTTTTTTCGTTACTGCTCGAACGACTCCTATGTGCAAGGGTGGCCGCATCGGGAAGGAAACTGATGGAGCTTGGCGCACACCGATACTCAAAGAGTATCCTGATGCTTTGTGCCGAGCCTTCGCTGAACTTTTCAATTCTAGATGCCAGCCTACGGTCCCTGCACAGAGCATACCTCCCTGGTTCGAAGAAGCAATTGCCCTTCTGAAGGCCGATTTCAATGAGGGGGCTACCATGGGACCGGATTGCTGTAGAGCCACCACGCTCGCTGCACCTAATCCGCCGACCCCGTGGTGCAGCAAGGGCCGAAATGGTATGTTCTGTTGTATCAGTTGTGGCCATAAGGTGGGCTACTGCTTCTTTATCTAGAGATCCCACCGCGAAGTGTTTTGGTGCTCGGTGCACAGGTTTCTGTGCCTGGAACAGTGGAGCTCTGCGCCTGCAACAGTGGAATTGCCTGCCGAGATCCCAGCCCGAAGTGTTTTTGGTGCTCGGTGCACAGGTTTCTATGCCTGGAACAATGGAGCTCCGTGCCTGCAACACTGGAATTCCTGCCAGAACCTTCATTTTTTTTCATTCGGCTCAGGAGTGACGTTTGGCCCGGGCAGAGGGACGGCAGGAGGCCGTTCCGTCACACGCCGTGCCAGGGTGTTTTCCTGATTCGAAGGGTGTCTTCTCTTGCTTTCTGTGCCTTAGAACAGTGGAATTGCCTGCCAGAACCTTGATTTTTTCATTCGGTTCAGGAGTGACGTTTCGCCCGGCAGAGAGACGGCAGGAGGCTGTTCCGTCACGCCGTGAAGGTGTTTTCCTGATTCGAAGGGTGTCTTCTGGCTTGCTTTCTCTGCCTTGGAACAGTAAAATTGCGCCAGAACCCTGATTTTTTCATTCGGTTCAGCCGTGCCAGCTTTTTCCCCTGATTTGTAGGCCTTGTGGCTGGGTTTCCGTGCCTGGAACAGTGGGCTTAGAACCTTGATTTTTCATTCGGTTCAGGAATGACGTTTGGCCTGGGCAGACGGATGGTAGGAGGCTGTTCCATCACGCCATGCCAGGTGTTTCCCTGATTGCCTGGAACTGTGGAATTGCCAGCCAGAACCTTGATTTTTTTCATTCGGGGCAGGAGTGACGTTTGGCCCGGGCAGAGGGATGGCAGGAGGCTGTTCCGTCACGCCGTGCCAGGGTGTTTCCGTGATTCGTAGGATGTCTTGTGGCTTGGTTTCTGTGCTTGGAACAGTGGCCAGAACCTGGATTTTTTCATTCGGTTCAGGAGCGACGTTTAGCCCTGGCAGCGGGACGGCAGGAGGCTGTTCCGTCGCGCCGCGCCAGATTGTTTCCCTGATTTGTAAGATGTCTTGTGGCTTGGTTTCTGTGCCTGGAGGCCCGGATTTGTAGGGTGTTTCTGTGCCTGGAACAGTGGAATTGCCTGCCAGAGGCTTGATTTTTTCATTCGGTTCAGGAGTGTCGTTTGGCCCGGGCAGAGGGATGGCAGGAGGCTGTTCCGTCACGCCGAGCCAGGGTGTTCCCTGATTCGTGCCAGGGTGTTTCCCTGATTCGAAGGGTGTGTTCTGGCTTGCTTTCTGTGCCTCAAACAGTGGAATTGCCTGCCACAACTTATTTTTATTCATTCGGTTGAGGACTGACGCTTGGCCGGGCAGAGGGATGGCAGGAGGCTGTTCCGTCACGCCGTGCCAGTGTCTTTCACTGATTCATAGGGTGTCTTGTGGCTTCTAGTTTCTGCGCCTGGAACAGTGGAATTGCCAGCCAGAACCTTGATTTTTCATTCGGCTCAAGAGTGACGTTTGGCCCGGGCAGAGGGACGGCAGGACTGTTCCGTCACACCGTGCCAGCATTTTTCCCCTGATTTGTAGGTCTTGTGGCTGGGTTTCTGTGCCTGGAACAGTGGGCTTAGAACTTGATTTTTTCATTCGGTTCAGGAATGACGTTTGGCCTGGGCAGGCGGATGGTAGGAGGCTGTTCCATCACGCCATGCCAGGGTGTTTCCCTGATTGCCTGGAACTGTGGAATTGCCTGCCA